AACTCTCCTCGCAAAGCATCATGGGATGTGCTGTCACAGCGGCCCGCTGTCACCATGGGCTGTCACTACCCGACAGTGGCAAGTAATAACAAAGATGGCGCAGGCACTGCGCAGTGGAGGAGGAATTACGTGACCAACGGAGCAAAAAGCAGCGATCTGTCTCTCCGAACGATCAGTTAACTGAGTTTGCTATAAAGTCCACTACATAATCCCCACTGTATGTGGACACAGTAAGCTTCTATGAGCTATGAGAACAGCACATCTTAAACAGGGCGTGCACAAGAAGAAATGCGTTCCTGCATCCTTTTGCACGCGCATTTCTATTTTAAATGGAGAGTGCGGGCGTTTTAAAAAATCCTCCACAATACCTTTAAGTGAGGATGCAAGGATTAAGAAGATCAAAATGTTCCCTTATACAATGGACTTGAAGAAGTTGATGAACAAACTTCTGTGATGTTCATTTAGAAAACAGACATGGATATTTGTTGATTTTCCTGTGTGCCATCCAATTGATTTATAGCAGAAACAGGCATGTGTTAAAAATGAGGGAAAAAAATTGCCTCAAACATCCAGAATCTTAAAACAGGAAAACGAAACAAAATCAATGCTTTGGATTTTATATTTATATCAAGCTTATTACATGAAGACTAATGTTTGTAAAGTAGTATTTCAGAAAACATCAATCCAGCCATCCATTTCCCTGCTGGGGTTGCGAGGGGTGCTGGTGCCTATCTCCAGCTGTCTACGGGTGAGAGGCGGGGTCCACCCTGGACAGGTCACCAGTCCATCGCATGGCCAGAAAACATCAATCCAGATTTAAATTTATGGTTGTCCTAAGAGCCAATTCTAAACAAAAACTGATTTTTCTATGCAGCTCCAAGCCATATTTTTTTTGTTTTCTTTTAAATGTATTCCAGAAATTATCCAGAGCAATGCAGACAGTAAATGGAAGCAAACATGGAATGGCCCAATCTCTTCATGCTTAGCTGGAAAACAAAAGGCTTATTATGCTTAAGTGATAGAAATAAAGGTATGAGCTTGGTCACAGTGACAAGTCAGTACTGTAAATGTTAATGCCCTTTTGGACTCAATAATTTATTTTTCTAATGTGAAGATTAATATTTCAATTATGCATACTGCAGCCAAAACGGAAAGGCTAACAGGATTTGTGTTATTTTGATTTTTAAGTTTCCTTCTGACATTTTCAAAATGTGTTTACTTGCAACACAACGGACTCAGCCATTAAGTCATAAACTCCTGGTTATTCACAAAGAATTTGAATTATGCAAACATGTATATTTGCTCTTCGGGGTTCAGTTCGGCTCTTTTTAAGTCCCATACTAGCAGAAAGAAAGCATTAGAAAATTATTCACTTGAGAAATGCATGAATTTTTACAAGCCGACAGAAAATTGAAAATAACAAAAGCTGAGAATACAGTAAATAAAATTGGACAGAATGACTGTTGGAAAAAAAAAAAAAAAGACCACAGTTTCCTCCAGTTGTCTAAACAGGAAGTTGTTTATATTGAGCTATGCATTAAACCAAAAAAAGTCCAACACAATTGGGATGCAGATCAGGATGTAAGCAGTTTCATCCATTTGGATATGACAAGCCCTGCGTCCAAGGATGTGTATATATTATCACATATTAAAGAAGTGAAATCCCAGCCTGTTATCCTCAGTTAAAGACGTTTTAGACATTCAGGCTTAACTCGCAAAAGCTAGACATAGACTCCATATATCTAACTTATTTTAAAATGGATTAAAAGGAAAAATTCAGCAACCTTCACTTTCTGAATATTGTTTTGGCTCTACTGGGACATCAAAAGCATTATTTTTAAGATCTGTTTGGTTTATGAGAAGCTTCACTGCTTTAAGTGAGCATCTCAAGCAGGTTTATAAATTATCACATGCCTCGTAAAATTGACTTCCTGACATTGGGACATGGAAAGCATAAATCAGCCAAAATGACCAGGAGACTCTGGCCTTCTCCTCTATTTTCAAAATTCAATCACATCGGGTTTGACATAAGAGCTTCGAGAAACATTACTTAAGCATATATATGTATATATATATATATATATATATATATATATATATATATATATATATATATATATATATATATATATATATGGAATGCTAGGTTTGACATACTTTATTTTGTTTTGTGCTTGTCTGGCTGTAAAACAATTAGGGGGCAAATTATCTTATTTTCCTTAACGCCAAAGGTATGACCCCTTTTTTTATTTTAAACTGTACTTTTCTAAGATTTACGGAATCAGGCTTAATGAAATTTAAAGGATCTGTGTTGGTCTAATGTATTTTTTTTTGTCAAATAAGTAGTTCCCTTTTTATTCACAAATTTCCCCAAAACAGTTGCTATGTTGTACTTTATCCTTCTTCGGTCATTTGGTTTAAAACCAAAGTGCAATGTACTAAATAATCCTCGGGAATCTTGTTCTTTCATTTCAATATGGAACATTTTCATTAAGGACTGAGGTGCAAAGGGAGCAGGCAAATTAAGTTTGTTGACATATTGTTCCTTATCAATAATGGGCTGCATAGTGTTTCTCTTTTAAAATTAATGAGTCATAAAAAGCAATGATGTGATTTTTGTTTTCAAGCACAAAATTCACTCTACCTCCTTCATGCAGGTTCAGTTAACTTAGTTGGCTTAGCTGCCATTCCAACAGGATTATAGCTCCGGAATGGGAGCAAAAAGTAGTCAAATTTGGTAAAGTATGTTCTTGTGGTTGTTTTTAAGTGATTAGACCCTGAAATAGAAATAAAACCACTTTTAACCTTTTGACATTTTTCAGCTGTAACTGAATATTTCATTTTACGGATTTGAAACATCAACCAGTCATATAACTGAGATAACATTCTAAAATTATAGACCATGAGATTTTGTGAAAATTATATTTCAAGTACTTTGCTGATTTAAACTTTTGCGTTCACTCAAATTTCTAGCTGAGGAAAAAGAAAAGTGAGTTCTGGTTTTAACAACAAACGTTCATAACTAACTGGTAATTCTATGACAGTCAGTCAGCTCCTCAGCAGAAGTGCTGCTCAAAGCATATCAGAAATAGCATGAAAAATGTTACCATATAGAGTATTTATCATACTTTAGAACCAGGAAACCTGTCAAAAATACAGCACGGCATGTTGTGAACCATTTGACAAAGTTCACCACATGTATTAAAACAAAGAAACGTCTATAAATAGGTGATACAAGAGCCTTTTAAGCACTATTTTGAATACTGTCACTATATGTATGTGAACACCAAACCAGGTCACAAAAGGAAGGAATGAGAAATACAGTATCTAAAATATGTTGTTTATTAGCAGGAGGGTATTGGGACTGTGCCACAAATACCCTCTGTCTATGCAACATGGGTGAGAACATGGATTTGAACAGTTGAAGGGGAGTAAATTTCCCATTGCCTTTTGAAACCTTTCTATAATTAATCTTTTTTTTTGCCCTAGGAATTTGACAATATTGGAAATGAGCTTTTAAGGGCAGGAGATACCCAAAGCTCAGGGGTAAAGAATCCAAACGTCTATGGCTATTAGAGATAACTTAAGCAGCGAGTCGACAGCCAGACCATCAAGTCAATTTCGTTTTTTAACCATAAACCTTACCTTAAAGACGTTGTCTCCTAATTACATTTTTTGTTCATTTTCTGTGTCTTTGGTCATATAAACATAAATTATATCTAAAAGCATCTCTACTAATCTCACTCACGCAGGCAAGGCAGTATTTGCAACTCGCCCGTCAGGTGACCACTTCAGAGGCATCGTATCCAGAACTAATAAACTCAGGAACAGCTTCTTTCCAAGAAATGTGAGGGCTGTCACCCTCTGCTGAGGAGTTTGTGGTCCGTCATATATTACAATTGCACCACTATTATTTTATTCTCTGAGATTTCTCTGCATTTCTCTCAAGATCGACATAAAATTACCTCACTCTAGAAAAAAAAACAATCTGTATATACTATGTCTGTTGCACATACAGGTCATGCTAGTGTTTTTTTTCTTATTTTCATTATTAATTATTATTTTTATTATTCTCAGTTTTTCTGCATATTAAGCTAGAGTCTTTCTCAAAGGGTATTTTACCATGGTAACACATGGTGACAACTGGAGAAATATTTAAGTCTCTTCAGTATCTGTCTAATGTCTCATTATTAGACTGTAGACCACGGGAATAAACTATGCTTTACCATGGTACAGCTCACATGGTCAGAATGTAAAATATACGTTGAATTTCTTTGAATTTTAGGGAAACATCTAGGATTAGGTGATAGTTTGAAAAAAAGGATGCTCAGATGTGATATTGTTTTAAACCTTACCCCAATGACGTGTCCAAGTCTTTGTTTAATGAACAACAAGGAACATACATTCTAAATCCTTGTGACATCAATTGTAACTTAACTTTTTTTTTTCAGCAGTTGGACATTCACTCTGTTTAGAATCAGATGTACACTACCGTTCAAAAGTTTGGGGTCACATTGAAATGTCCTTATTTTTGAAGGAAAAGCACTGTACTTTTCAATGAAAATAACTTACCCTCTATACATTGCTAATGTGGTAAATTACTATTCTAGCTGCAAATGTCTGGTTTTTAATGCAATATCTACATAGGTGTATAGAGGCCCATTTCCAGCAACTATCACTCCAGTGTTCTAATGGTACAATGTGTTTGCTCATTGGCTCAGAAGGCTAATTGATGATTAGAAAACCCTTGTGCAATCATGTTTACATGTCTGAAAACAGTTTAGCTTGTTACAGAAGCTACAAAACTGACCTTCCTTTGAGCAGATTGAGTTTCTGGAGCATCACATTTGTGGCGTCAATTAAACGCTCAAAATGGCCAGAAAAAGAGAACTTTCATCTGAAACTAGACAGTCTATTCTTGTTCTTAGAAATGAAGGCTATTTCGTGTGAGAAATTGCTAAGAAATTGAAGATTTCCTACAACGGTGTGTACTACTCCCTCTCCTCTAAAATAAGGACATTTCAATGTGACCCCAAACTTTTGAACGGTAGTGTATATGTCTTCAGTAAGATATTTATTTTCATGATGTGTTTGCAAACAGTTCCTAGTAATTCTATTCCAATCTGATGTTGACATGAACCACTAGCGATAAATGAATTCAGAATGTGATGGCTGGTAGTGCATGGCTCAAGTCAATTAGAAACGCCTGCAATTCAATGTTAACATGAAGATTCAGGTTGATATCAAGACAACATTCTCCTTACTGGGGTACTGTTAGTTTTCCTGGGTTTCTTACCCAGAAACACGGTTCTGATCATGATGAATGCAGTGTAAATGATTTGGGCCAATGAAGGGATGCATTTAAAGCTTCCTGCAGTCAGAACACATCTACACACTCACAGGCAATTACACACATGTCCTGTTAAAGAACTGTACTGATAGTGTCAAAGTCCTTGCTTATCTGAGAGTTGCTGGGCAGTGACTTGAGGTACTCCAGGTGCCTCCTTGCATCCTCCTGATTGTGTCTTACATAGTAGATCACGTAGGCGATTACCATGGTGAACCATCCAAACATAGTGACAAACATGGCTACATCTGTGGTTTTGTGGTGAAAAGTGCAGAAGTTGATCCCTGAGTCCAGCACCTGGATAATCGGTTTACCAGCGTATTCCTCCTGCACCGCAGTGTGGCAGATCACCTCGTTCACGGTTTCGGGGTCCAGGCGCAGCTCCCTCAGGACCTCCTGCAGCGTGCACTCACAGTGCCACGGATTGTTCGAGAGGTTAATCTTTGCCCGCAGACGGGCAAATGCCTCTTTTGGGACATTTTGGATGTTATTGTTTGATAAATCAAGCACCAGGAGGCTGTCGGAAACACCCTGAAACGCTCCCATGTCCACCGTCTCAATGTCATTGTTGGACAGGTCCAGCTCCTGAAGGTAATGCAGCTCTCTGAAGGCCTGGTTGGGAATGTGTGTTATGTGGTTGGCTGCCAAAACCAGGACAACCGTATCTCTGGGAAGATCTGGTGGGATCTTTTCAAGGTTGCGAGACATGCATTGGACCACCATCAAGCTATTCTTTTCAATGCAATGACAAATGGAGGGACAAGCCATCACGGATACATTTTGTAAAAGTATCCCAGAGAGCAAACCCCCTATCAGGGCAAGGCCATTGAACATGAGGGATACCCTGAACATCCGAGGGCTTGCAAAGTCCTGCATAATTAGCAGGGACTTCCAAAAAGTCTTGTCAAGCAAAATAGTTCATAGTTCAATCTGTTTCTCTCCTTCATTAGACTTTAAGATGCCAGAATTAGCATTCATTCACAGAAATGTGGATGTTTATCTGGAGATAATCCATAAAAAATCGATTTGGAAGAGTTTTACGCAATCTTTTGAAGCACGTTTGAAAAGAGCACATCCAAAAACCGAGCTGCTCGCTGAGCATATTCCAGCAGAAAGCTGTAATCTCCAGATTAACACGAGGATACGGGAAGACCCAAGAAGCAGAGACAGAGACGCTGGCCTCCAAACATCACATTTTGCTGTGAAAAAAACAAGAACAAAAAACACTGTTAATGTTGATAGGACAGTTTTTATTTTTAAATCCAGACTGTCACACCTACTGTATGAGTGTGCCTTTTTTTTTCATATGCAAAGTTACTGGCATTTCCATTTTGTTTAGAAATATATAACATGATTATGGAACAAAAATCAATTTATCCAAATGTCATAAAGCAGCAGGCGGACTTACATACAGGTCATCAGCGCGGTTTTCTCAGTTAATTAGGCCGCGCATAATGTACTCCTGATCTTCCAGCATTGTCTGCATTAATCTTAATTACATGATTTCACAGCTGGAAAAGCTTTGATACATATGCTTTTTGTTTTCTCTTAAGAGTTTTGCATTTTCAAGGACCTCTGCCTCCTATTCGTATCCCTGGGATAAGAATTGCTGGGGACTCTGAGTCCAACCATCCTGCAGCAGCATCATCAGGACTGTGCACCCTCTACTGGGCTAAACTGATCTCCCCATGAATCCCTGGCTGAGTTTGAGGTCATCCACTGCATCTCTTCTAGTCGTTCTCGTCTGTTTTCTCTTCTTGTTTTGCCTTAGGGTTGAAAAAAAGGATTGGGGGCATCTTATTATTATTCTGAGCTTACTACTAGACGAATGAAGAATGTGACAAACACACAGGTGCAGCTAAACATCAATCACTCAAAATATTCCACATTAAGCTTTCAATAGTTTAATAATGCTTGTCTAATTAGCAGATTTTATAAGTTTTCTGCTTAACATTTATGTTATACATGCATTTTCACTAAATAATCTTTCAAAGGAAGATTTTATGCAAATGACAATTTCAACTTGATTAACTATTAAGTGTGTAACTTGATTAAGCATTAATTAGGTAGCCTAATGAGTTTTTTCACTTGTGAATTTCAATCAAAGAAGTATTTCCAAATGAAAGAAATAGTTTAAACTTGCTCACCAAGGTGTGTAAAAGCGTTTTCTTATCCATGTCCGGCAGATATGTTTGAAGTTCATGTTGTGTTCCAGCTTAAGTGAAAGGATTTAGGACATCTCCGTGAAACACCAATGAAACCAGACAAGTTTCACTGTTTGTGAGAAAATCCACTTCGCTCCATCCTCATGACCTGCAGAAGGAATACTTCCTCAGCTGGGCAGTTCTCCCTACAGAAATGATCCCTGCTTCCACGTGCCGTTCCTTTTCATGCCTTTCTCATGCTTTCACTTGTTGAAGATCAAGGTGCCGATGGAGCAGGTGCAAGAGGAGCTTCATCTCATGCTCCTCTCCCTGAACAGAGTGCAGACTGGGCTGTTGTCCTCCTGCCTGCCTGCCTGCCTGCCTGCCTGCACCTCCCCTTTCTGTCTCCTCCTCCTTCAATTATTCCCTTTACTGGAGAAACTGGAGTGTGAGGATTGCTCGTGGCAAGGAACAGATATCCAAACACGTTCTAGGGTGCTAACTTTTTAATGTGACAGTTATATTTTGAAATGACTTTGGGCAAAGATTAGGTCTGGCTCTCTGGCTACAGTAAGTTATTGATTATTCTGCCTGCCCTAAGGGATCTTGTCTGTTCACAAAGCAGTGGATTAAGATGTCAGCTTTCAGATCTGCTATGGTTCAAATTAATAACTTCTTACTTCTATAAGACTTTAACCTGAAAACTTTATTCATTTTTAACCTCACTCAAATACAGTCATAGATTGACAAAATAAAAAAAAACAAACAAAAAAACAGTGATATCCAGGAAGAATCCTACAATTTGAATGTGGAATGCTTGAATGCTAAGATTGCAAACCAGTGAAGGAAATTGATGGAATTTACAAGGATGGCCACTAGAGGGCAGAAGTGATAGTTACACTGTAGATATGCAAACACTGCAATACACAGTGTGATCAGGTCACTTAGACCCAACATGGAGTGTTTTTGCATGGGGCCAAACCCTAATATTACCTTGAAAAGATGGGTAGAGTTGCCAATAACTTTATTCAAATAAGAGCAGCATAACTTCAATATATATTCATATTTTCTCTTAAGGAAAAGTAAAAACTAGCCGATCAAGAAAAAATTTAAGTATCACCTTTAAAGAAGTATGAGGTAAGAGGGTTCTTAAGTAGTCAGTAAATAATCGTAAGTTCTGATTAATATTTGTTAATACTGTAATGAAATAGTATGTTGGTATTTCAAAATGCAAATGACGTTAGAAATGCAATGAAATTATAAAACAAATGATTATTCCATAAATATTTCCTTGCAGAAAATGTATCAAACCAATTCTTACAGCAGTTAATGTGTTTACAATGTACCTCTAAAAGTGGTTTTTCACCTCTTATACTCATCCTTTTCTTCATCCATAGGGCCAAATCCACTAACAGCAAAATCACTTTAAATACTCTGTAAAGATTTATTTCAGGATTTGCGTAATGAAATTCAGTTATGTGTGAAAAAACAGAATTTACTGCTCATCTCTAGTTCATCCTGAAAGTTTTCTGTGGTGTGAGGTCACCTATGAGGTCAGGAATCTATGTAAATTTACTAATACCAAACTTTATGCACCTGCAGCCATTGAAGCTATTGGCAGACTCAACAAGCCAAGCCAAAACTTTTACTAAAGTAAGTGTAGCAATACTTATCTAATAATGGTACCAAGTAATGTAATGTAAAATGCTGTAAAACTACTTTTAAAAGGTAATTTTGTTTGAAATGTTACTCTTTATGTGACTTACTGAAACAGGATGGTTTCTGTAAACATATCCTTAATCTGAGGCCTTTGCTGAGAAACAAACAGCCTTAAACTGTATGTGAACGAAATAGCCTCCAAATCTTGCCATTAATTCTGGATGCTTAACTTTAATTAGCAAGTGATTTTATTTTTAAGAAGATTGTTTTTTTTTCTGTTTATTTTTCCATTTGGAAAAAAAAAGGATAAGCCAGGCATGTCAGGACTCCAGTCTGTGTGTTTGTCTTTTTGTGTAGTTCTCCCTTCCACCAGCAGGAGGCGCCTGGTTCTGGTCCGCCTCCTCACACACCTGATGACGGTTGCCTCGTTAGCAGACTGCTTTTAAGCTGCTGATTGCCACTACCTCGACGCGTGTTTGCCAGTTTTGGGTACTCTAGCCAAGCTGAGTTTTTGCTGAGTAAGACTGAGTTCTTGTCTACCTGAGTTTTAACTTCGTTGTTGTCTTTGCGTCTCGGCAGGAAGTCTTCCTGCAAACTGGATCTTTCCGGACCTCCTCTCCCAGGAGGGATCAACTGAGCCTTGAACTGAGCTGGGGATTCAGGAGGTTTGGATCCTTCTTCCTTGAACAGGACGTTAAGTTAACTCTCTGAGCAAGGGAATCATCTCCATAACGACCCGTTCAAGTACCGCAGAAAATCTGAGCGGCAGCCAGTTTCTCCGTTCACCAACAACCATCCGAGTTCTGGGTAAACCCTGTTCCGCCCTCCACCGAATCAGAATAACACTGGAAAACAGCACACAGATTGGAGTTAAAGATTCTACAACTTCTCTGGAAAAGTGAGACAACCACCCGATCCTCTTCTCCATATCCACGAATGAAATCTCCCACTGAGCCTGAACTAATCGTTTGTCTTCCCTTCACCTTCCAGTTCCGGTCGAGCCAAGTTCTGAGCAACTCCACACCGAGCCGAAACTCTTCAATAAACCTGTTAAACTTTTCATCAGTGTCTCTCTGAATTGGTTTCTCTGCATGTGGGTTCGAGCTTTAGATAAAATCATGACAAGGCATACAAAATGAAGATAAGGTCAGTAATGATTTTCTTATAGTTTCTTAAAATTGTGTCTGAAAAATAGTTCCTAAATGCTATTTTTCCATAATTTGCATTACTTGCCCATGGTATGTCTCTGTAATGTAGAGAAGTATTATTGTATAAAGACTAAGTTGGTAAATTCCATCCCAACTGATGGACACAGTTCCACTAACCAGCATATTGTCATTAGCATATGATTTTGTTGAACGGATTAAAGTTTTGGTTAATATTCCAATTTTTTGACATGTTGCTTCTGTTTAATTAGTTTTTGCCAATTTTAAACTCATTAAAAAAGTTCTGAAGTGTGTTATTTTCTGCTCACTGTTTGCATGTTTCAAAAAGAAGTGTTCATGTGAAAAGAGGTCCTTGTGACTCAATGGCAGTGTAATGAAGGCAGATTTAAACTGCAGATTTTTTCAGTTCTTATTCAAGTTATGAAATGTTAAAGGAGTGGAGTTTTTTTGGGCTTGAAGATGCTGGGAAGTCTGTAACTGCTGTGGGTGAAGCAGAGGTCACTCAGAGCTCAGAGACCATTAATCTCTGCAGACATGCTGCACTTTGACAACATGCCAAGGCTACACATGTTGTCCTCCACTTTTGTTTGCCTGTCAAACACACTAAACTCCAACAAAACCAAATGTTTGATCGTCTTTAAAGCTAAGGTTTACCTTGATGTTTAGAGACACCATGTTCAAGTGTGTCAAAAAAAATGAAAAATAAAACACGTAAATCAGAAATGGTACAGTAGGCTGATCCAGAGCTCAGAAGCAGAGTTGAATACAGGTACTGAATATTTGTCTGTTCTTGTTTGGCTGTGACGCCATCCTGGGGAGGGATATCAGCTGTGCTGCTTCCATTAACACCTTTGTTTATAGTTGGAGATTGTCCTTATTTTCCAGTGTGGTCCTGTTTCTCTGACTGTGACTGGCTAGATGTGCTATCTTCATCCTCTGACATGAGAGTTGACTCGAAGCTCGTCTGCCTGGCTGTGTGTTTCCTAGACCAGGCAGCCTTTTACAGCTGCTTTTTGTATTTCTGCTTCTGTCTCCTTGAACCCCAGACAGCCTCGGCAGATCACACTGAGCCTGGTTCTACTGGAGGATTCTTCCTGTTAAAAGGGAGTTTTTCCTCTCCACTGTCGCTACAAGCATGCTTAGTGTGAGGGATTGCATTCGAGTCAATAAGTCGATGCAATCAACGTGTTGTGAATTGGCGCTATATACATGTAAACTGAACTGAACTGAATTACACAAATCTAACTGCAAATCCTTAACAGAACACAACACCACCCAAAAAACACCTTCCAAGTCAATTCCTTGAAGTCCAAATTTCATTTGGTGCTGGTCAAAACAAGAAGGAAGGTCAAAGACATGGGGAACTGAGGATGTCAGCATACAGTATGTTAGTTGTCACGCAACCGCTAAGGCATTCAATTGGTTTTTCTGCTGTGGAGCTGATCATGTCTAGATGATGAACTTAGAAATTTTATAAGGCTGTGTGGGGGACCGAAATGCTAAATTTGATAAGACCTAGACTTTCTCCATCTCCTTATTAAACTGGAGGTCAGAGCTTCCTTTAAGCAATTATTTTCTATAAGCTTGATGGATTTTATCACAATGTTTTAATTGAAAGTCTGCAAAAGACAGAGTTGTTCATCATTAGGGGGTCGGTCAAAACATTCTACAAACAAAAATACAAAATTTACATTATTGTCTTTGTCTTTTAAAGTTCAAAGACATCCACTCTACAACACACCATAACTCCTTTTTTCTTGGAACTGGATTATGATTAGTTATCCATCTACAACAGTTTTAAAAAAAGAGCGTTACCTGCATCATGACCCAGAGAAAGTCTTTCAAATGACCTTCTCACAAGAAAAAAAAAATGAAATTGATCCTTTCTATTTGCAGTCTGCTGATGTAATTTCAATGTAGGTCAGCTGTCCCCAGAGTTGCAGGTGTCGTTTCAGCTACGAAGCTGGGCAGGCATTTCATTGGTCCAGGCCAGCCTCAGTTTGAGAATTTAGTGATCCAGCTGACATGATGGATTGTCCTCAACTGCCGAACTCTGCTAAATTAAGTCAGGAAATTACTCAAATAATTTCAGATTTGAGGGAGCTGCAGACTGGGGGTTTTTATCAATTTTTTTATGGAGGATTATTAAAATTTAGAGGAAACTGCTCTGTGTCTTATAAAGACCATGCAAGACAATTAGATTGAGTACTAACATACTGTCATTCATTCTTTTATAAATAAAAATGGATCTTTGAGTTAAATTATCACTATTTTTATAATTCTGGTAGAAGAGATGTGAGCAGATAAATAAGGCATTCCCATCACTAAAAATGTCCCTCCTCTTGGTGGATCTATCTATATCCTCGATCAGCTCAGGTTTCTCTACTTTTTTCTATGTTGTTTGACAGCAATCACTTTTACTATTGGTACTCAGAGAACACCTTCATTAAATAGATTATCTTGGTCCTGTTTA